TATTAACATTTAGTTTTTAAACTAAAATATTTATATTATATTTTAATAATTTAATTATTTATAATAAAAAATTAAAATTTTGGAATTTTTACTTCTGCTGCACCCTCTGATAAAAAAACAAGTACTGTATTTACCTGTTATATTTTACTAGTATTTATATGCTATATTTCATTTGCGATAGATGCTATTGCCTAAAACACAACATATCACTGAGATAGATTTTGGACAAACACAATATCATTTATGTTATAAATTCGGAGTATATATAACGGGAATAGATCGCATATTATTTCTAAAAATTATAACAAGGGGAAATGTAATAATAACTGTACCTTTTAGTGAATCAAATATTATAACATCGTTCAATTTTAGTCGACAGATTTTTGTTGAGATTTTGAAATTTAATTATTTATTTTTATTTTAAAAAGATAATTATAATATATATTTAATAAAAAATTTTATTAAAATAATATTTAATTAGGAATAAATATAAAATTTTATCAATAAATTATTAATATTTATTTTATTAGATAAAAAATTAAGTCTACTAAAAATTAATGAATGTGAAAATAGTATACTCTCTCCATTTCATTTTAATAGACTTAATTTCTAATTTAAAATATTTAAATTTAATTTTTTTAGATGTAATATAATTTAATTTTTTTAGATGTAATATAATTTAATATGCTTATTCTTGTTTTATCTTTATTTTTAAAAAATAATTACAACTTAAATTAAATAAAAAATTTTAGTTAAGTAACGATTAATTAAGGATAAATATAAAATTTTATCCATTAATTATATCTCTATTTTATTAATAAAATTAATCTTTCTAAAGTTGAACAAAAGTAATATATAAGAAAAAGTAAAAATCAAGAAATTGTAATAGTTAAAATTTAATATTCATGTTACGTTGTAGCTGGCTAGCAGTATCAGTCCTTTTAAGCCTCACAAATTGTTGTTGCTCAAACCTTGATTAGTTAAGCCATCTTATTTTGCATGTCTCACAATCAGATGAAAAAAAGAAAAGAAAAGAAAGCGACTTGTTCTAGCCCTCACTATGCGTTATTGGAGACTTCTAGAGTGTGAACCATCCTTAGAAAATTCATGTTCACCCATTTGATGATCTAAGTTGACTTGGTCCAAAGAAACTCCAAAGTAGTCATGAAACATTCCATATTAATCTTGTCAACTTCCTCTACAATAATTAATTGTGTAATCGTCTCTTGATTGAAATATCATAATAATCAGTCCGTGTGGATTGGGCATCAACATGTTCCAACCCTAACTAAACGTTGTTGGAATTGAACTTCCAAGAGTATTCGATTGGTTGAAGTGATGAGTATATAGGTACACTAGCACACCATGTATATTTATGCACACATGAGTTACCTATTTAGCACAACAACTGACACCATAGCAGACGGGTGCAAAAAAATTCCGTATACAGTATTCTTACGTGCCAAAAATGCACCGACTCTCTCTTATCATTTGTTGCTTTCTTATGGCATCAATCCTCTTCATGATCTCACAAGAAATGGCTGCACATAGATTTTTAGCTGGAGATCTAAGTAAGCGGTCTCTTCTTCATTTTTGGATTAAATTAAAATTTTATCTAGCTATATAATTAACCTATCTTTATTCTTTACTGAATATATAGTTTTTTGTGGTTGCATATGTATGTATATATGTTCCCAAGGTGGCACTGGACAGAGCAAAGGTGGAACGAAACCACGTACCTCACCCACTGCTCCAAGCGAAGGCCAGATGAATTCTCCAACTCGGGGTGGGACATATATATCGTATCAAGCTTTGAAGAGAACAAGTGCGGTTTGTAATAACAGAGTGTACACCGGCAACTGTACGGTTGCAAGAGGAAATGGCGTCTACAATCGATCAACACCCAAGTCACCTTAATTTTGTTGCTGCCCTCTATTTAATTAGATTTTGGTGAACATGCATGCTCATTTTGTAACTTGTTCCTCTCTATTTTGATTTGGCCTATTTTGTTGCTCCTCTTTTCGCACTGTTCTGTAAGTATTTTTTTGTACTCCAGGTTCCAATTATATTACTCCATCTTGCCGACAAAAAAAAGAAGTAGAATAATAAAATAAACAGAGGGATTTCTAAGATCACCTAGAACAATGACTCTTTTTTCTTTTTTAAATGGAAAAATGAAAATGATAAGTACTTGGTTTAATTCAACATATTTTATTATGTTTGTTTGATTTAATTATTAAAATATCAAAAAATAATTGATATATCTTTAGTTTAATATATATATTTTTATATATCTTTAGTTTAACTATTAAAATATAATATAAATATAATTAATTTAAATAATTTTTATATTATATATACATAATTA